GGTGCTCTGCTTCTTGACACCTTGTGACCCTCGAACCACCGCTGGGCATTCTATGTGTATGTGTCAGGACAGGGATTTTACACAGCACGGGAGAGAACATTCCGAACCCACGAACTTCAAAAGGAAGACTGGGGCATCACATTTTGAAAAACCATGTAATCGGTTTGAACATTTTTTCCACTCCCAGATTAGATAAAAGAGCCCAGGCCAAGAGAAAGGAGCGGCGTGAAGAAGAAAAGGGAGGGGAGGGTTGAGGGATGAGAAAAGGGGAGAGAAGGGAAAGGGAGCCAGAGGGCAGAGGCGATGCGGGGAATCCCCTCTATGAGGCCTTGTTCGAGAACCTCCCTGGGTTTTACCTAGCTACAGAGCAAGAAAGCTCCGCCGGAGGGTTTGAGAACCAGAGGTAAACAGAAAGCCGTTCATCTCCTTTTCCTGGCAGGGCGGGGACCAGTATGTATCTTGGTTTAGGAGAACAAGACTGCAGAGTGCTCCTGGGCCCTCATTGTATCAGATAAGCTCCAGCGAGGGAAAGAGAAACCACTGAATATAAGGGACTTGCAAACGTTCATGGGAAAACAATTGGAATTTAAAACATAGATGGAAAATTTCCACAGGTTTGTTTTTGAAGTTTCCCTTATATTTAACTGAGGAATTTTCGTGGTAATTAGGAATGGGTTACGCAGGTGATGGGGAAACCCAGAAGCCAACCGGAATAATGACACAATCTAGAGAGAAGCAGCAGCAGGAAGCCACAGCTACCCAGTGGTGCAAGGACAAAAGGAGGAGGAGTCCAGGGGTCAAGGTCATCCAGCAGACCCGTTCAGAGGAAGTGGACCACTGAGGAAATGCAGCTGCTAATGACGATAATGGGAGGAAATGGGGGGAAACCCTGGGCTCTTCCTTCTTTTGACCTTCCAATCTCAGTGCTTCCTAAGAGCCAAGCCCAACCATATGAAGCATTCTAGCTGACATGGGAAGTTCAACCTGCCTGGGTCAGCCGCTCTGTAAGGCAGCAGGGAAGGGGTGAGGCATGGCTCTGATGCCCAAAAATCCATGAGAAAATGGCTGCACGTGCTATAGGACTATGGGCCCACGCCCTGGAAAGGCCCACATGTGACGAGGAAGTCTGAAGACTTGAGGGGACAGGGCTTGGAAGTTGGAAGTTGGAACAAGGAAGGCATGTGTGAGATCTACTTCAAGAGGAACTAAAAAGCACACGGGCCTTCAGACCGCTCAATGGATTCTAGCTTTGACAGAAGACAACGCTGAGAATGCCAGACATGGATGCCACCCAAGATGCTCCCGGCACGCATGTCCAATCAAATACCACACTTAGACCATCCTCCAAAGAAGAAGGGAGAGGCTCTTGAGCGAGCGGACTGGAGGCTAGATCAAAGTTCACTTGCAGACACGGGAAGGAAGGAATCTGTCCTGATGAACAGACTCCGTCCTTCAGCAAAAAGAGTTCGTGCATGGTAGGGGACGTTGGACACAACAGTCAGAAACAGATCATGTTAAAGGAGACACAGAATTTGGAGATGCACATAAAGAAGTTCCTCACAGACTAGTGATACTTGATCCCAGTCTTGAGAGATGAATAAAGATTTAATAAGCAAATCACATCAGGAAGGATGGAGATTAATAACATTAGAGGAAATAACAAATGTAGCTTGAGATGATACTTATCTGATAGATTTTTGTGGGCATGTAATACTCCTGCAACTTGATATTCGGAAGGCACAGAAATGAAGAGGGAGAGGGGGCAAGGCAAGGAAAACGAAATCTAAACAGAGACTTGAGAACAGAGTTAAAGTTGGAACGTGTAATGCATTATCTCTTAAACGTTCAGAGTCTTTCTAAAGGATTCAAGAGAAAGAGAGAGCTGTCTACTCCCTTGAAGATTTGAAGTCTCAGATATGCAAAGGGGATTTCTACTCGGTTCTAGGAGGTTGCTATGAGTTGGAATTGACTTGGTGGCAATTAGTTTTGTTGTTGTTGTTGTTATTTACGTTTTCTAAAGGTTCCTCACCTGTTTGCTGTTCTCCTATCCCCCTCCCGATGCACTGACTTTGAATAGAAGCCGGTACATTCCTTATCCAGTTCCCATTACCCGTGAGTCACTGCAGTACAGAGTAGAACTGCTCCAGTGGGTTTTCTTGGCTGTAATCCTGAAAGATCCAGATTTCCAGGCTTTTCCTCTAGGGTGCCACTGAGGGGATTCAAACTGCCAGCCTTTGGGTTAATAATCTGCCAACCTGTTGTGGTGAGGTGTCATCAGGTCAGTTCGGACTCATAGCCACGTTATGTACAACAGAAGAAAACACTGCCTGGTCCTGTACGATAGCCACGATTGTTGTTGTGTTTGAACCCTTTATTGTAGTCGCTGTCAGTCATTGTTGTTGAGGTCCCTCCTGTTTCTTGCTGAACCTCTACTAAGCAAAATGTCCAAAGGCACGTTTTTGGCTTTACATCTTCTAAGACAGATTTGTTCCTCTAGTTGTCCATGGTACTTTCAATATTCTTCCACTATAATGTAAACGCATCAATTCTTCCAAGGTCTTCCTTACTCATGGTCCAACTCTCACATGTATAGAAGGTGAATAGAAATACTATGGCTTAGGTCGGACGCACATTAGTCCTTAAAGAAACATCCTGGGTCGTCAACATTTTAAAGAGGGCTTATGTAACAGGTTTGCCCAATGCAATAGGCCATTTGATTTCTTGAGATTGTTGCTTCCATGAGTATTGATTGTGGATCCAAGCAAAATGAAATCCTTGACAATTTCAATCCTCCAGTTATGAAGATTTGGATTTTCTTTACATTCAGTCCCAATCCATATTGAAGGCTACAATCTTTGATTTTCAACAGCACGACTTTCAAGTACTCCTCACAAGCAAGGTTATACCATTTGTATATCAAAGGTGGCTGATAAGCCTTTCTCCCATTCTGACACCACGTTCTTCTTCATATAATCCAGCTTCTTGGATAACTTACTCAACACACAGATTCAATAAGTATAATCAGCCTTCCCTGATTATCAACTGCAAAGCACCCCTTGTCTTAGTCAACTGACTTCCTCTTGGTCCAAGCACTGGTTCTGTGTGAGCACATGAATTGTTGGGAAACTCCCATTCTTCTCAATGCTACTTATAGTTGTTAAGACCCACACAGTTGAAAGTCTTCATAGAGTTCAGTGGTTCACAACCTGTGGGTCACGACCCCTTTGGGGGCATCAAACGACCCTTTCACAGTAGTTGCCTGATTCATAACAGTAGCAAAATTATAGTTAGAAGTAGCAACGAAAATAATTTTATGGTTGGGGTTACCACAACATGAGGAACTGTATTAAAGGGTCGCGGCATTAGGAAAGTTGAGAACCTTTGCTACAGTTGATAAAACACAAGTACCATAGATATCTTTCTGGTATTCTCTGCTACTTACAGACCATTAAAGTCTACCAAAGCCATGGCAAATCTCCCAGGGTTCGTCGCCTTTTCAATGAGGCCAGTTGGAGTGGTAGGTTGACCATGACCTGAGTTTCACCTCTAAGGAGCATCAGCATCAGTTTGCACATAACAAGTTTCCTAAAATGTATCCTTATTGTAGATTCCATGGGGTCATTTCTAGACTTAATCTTGAACTAAAGTCTTAGATCTCGAGGTACTCAGGTGGTCTTTTTGTTTTAATTTTATTGACATAGATTTCACGTATGGTACAATTCAGTAACTCAATCCTATTAAAAAGTGTTGAGCAATCACCAGCAAGTCAATTTCTGGGCAATTTATTCTTTCTTGTACTCATTGTTACTAGCTCTGAATTTCCACTCAACCTTCTTTGCCATATACCTAAGAAACCATTAATCTAATTACTGTCCCTATAGATTTATTTATCCTGAATTTCCTATACAGGAAAACACACAAAAGCAAAAACAAATAACAAAAAGTAAAACAAAGCTGAGGAAAACCTCAATTGAAAGCAGTAATAATAAAAGGCAGAAAAAAATAAAAAAACATAACAAATTAAAATGGGTCAAATGGGGATCAAACTATAAGATTAAATTTATCCTAACTACATCTGCATTCGTCCACTGTCCAATGGAATTTGTCTGATAGCAAAGCTATTCACGTTCCTGGTCAGAGAGGCTTCACCGGAGGCAAAATCTCTACTTGTATACCTTAAAAATCTGTTCTAGTTTTATTATTTCCTGCTTTCTTTTTGATTGAGGTTTTTGGGGGGGGTTATTTTGTTATTGTTTGTGTGTGCTTGTTTGTTTGGGGTGGGGGGTATGTTTTTCTGTATATGGAGTCCAGGAAAGATAAATCTATAGAGAGCGTAATTGGGTTAATAGTTTCTTAGAGTTACGGCAGGGGAGGTTGGGGGAAATGGGGAGCTAATATCAATGTGTACAAGAAAGAAGAAGATGTTCTAAAGTCATTGTAGTGATGACTGCACAACCCTTTGTAATACGTTTAAGCCATTGAATTGTAAGATATGTGAATTACATGTTAATAAAGCTGTTAATTTTTTTGAAAAATAAAAGAGATTAAATAAGCTATTTACAAAAGCAGAGCTGGGGGCCGATGGATGCCAAACCACATGAACATCACCCAGGAGCAGAAGCTAAGAGACAAGGCCCTTCCTCCAGAATCGACACACAGAGAACACTTTCCTCCAGAGACTACATCTGAACTTCAGACTTCTAGCCTCTAAACTGTGAAGAAATAAATCTGCTGGTGAAAGCGATAGTTTCAATGATAGTAGCTCTAGAAAACTAAGACAGTTACTTTTTAAACAGAGAAACAAGACCATTGATTTACAAAAATCTTCATCTATCACTATTCCAGAAACAATATTAAAAACCTCACCTTCTATAGTTTAATGATTTAAGTAATAAAAATCGTGATTATTTTCATTGTTTACAAATGTCAAATGGTTACATTGCAGAAAACAACAAAAGTTACTAAATGTTTTTGTTGTTGTTGTTGTTGTTGTTGTTTACCTGATTAGAGATGGCTGTTCCGGAGAGATCCACAGATACCAAGGAATGGATGCTTACAAGATGCTCAATTCCTGTGTCACTCAAATGTTCACAGTTTCTTAAATTCAAGTAGGTTAAATTAGGGCACCTGAAAGAAAGTAGCACAGTGAATCAATTTTAACTTTCAATCAGATTGTCAGTAGTAACTTCTCTCTCTAAAAACTATGGATAGAGCAAATGATATCTAAGCAGTGATTTCCTTTCACATAAAAGCACCTATATACTCATGTATAAGCTGAGTTTTCAGCACATTTTTAATCCAGTTTTTGTGGTAAAATTAGGTGCCTCGGCTGATATTCAGATCGGCTTATCCTCGAGTATATACGGTAAGCTTTGAAATGAAAATAATTTTGGAATTGCCAAATTGGGTGAAAGTGAAGAGGATTATTACATATAAATCTTTCTTACTATTACTTAGTTTTGTGTTACAAATACCATTTCTAGTAAGAACAAAATATCATATGCACACACACAAAATGTATCAAGTAAGCACCACAATAAATAACCACTAAGACTACAAAGTTAAGTTTCTCACTTATATTTTTAAAGCTTGCTAGAGAAATTGGTCTTGACCTTTAGAGAGCATGTAACTCTGACTAGTATGAAAGATAAACCCGACAGCCTTAGAGTCCCTTGGAAAAAGCTGAAACAAGACATTTACAAACAGTTACATCCTGGAAACATGTACAGAGGCCGCTCATGTCTGGAGATGAGTGACTGAATCTCTAACTTCGTCTAGGTTGAAATTAATAAGTAATTTGTCAGGTATAATCAAAGATCAGTTTCAGTCTGTGACTTGTGTCCCTTCTACCTGGTTTCCTAAGTGCAGGACCAAAATCTGGGCATCTCTAATATTTTCCAAATGATTCAAGTCTGATCTCTTGGCAAGTATGCAAATGTTTAATGAAATGATGGAAAATAGTCTGTCATACCGCTCGGATATCTTCACAAGGGAAGTGTCGCCCAGGTGGATACAGTTACTTAAATTTAGCTCTCTCATCTTGATGCTCACAGGACCATCAAGAAATTGCCTGAGCCCTTCATCGCCAATACTGTAGGAAAGAGTGAGAAAAACATTACATGTGATTTTCAGCATAAATACATAGGATACTTTTAAAAGAATAATTACGATGCCTGATACAGTTCAAAATAATTAATATTTATGAATTGGTAATTTGTCAACATTTTAAAACCAAATTTGATTATGTATTTTTAATGTAATAGAACACGTATAAATGATAGCAATGGGGAAAGTCTTGATAAAATTATTTTCTTGTTCATTTGTCCACTTACTTAGGTGGCATGATTAGAAAACAGATGGCCCTTAAGAAGCCATTTCATTATTGGAAGAAAATGTGATCAGGTTCCCAGATATCCCACTACTTGGTATATATACTAAAGAAATATATCGCTACAAGAAGACTAGATCTATGTATACCCATCTTCATTGCAGCATTGTTTACAATGTTGTTGTTGTGTGCTCTCAAGTCTGCAGATGCACAACAGAACAAAACACTGCCTGGTCCAGTACCATCCTCACAATTGCTCTTGTTTGGGCCCATTGTTACAGCCACTGTGTCCACCTATCTCCTTGAAAATTTCTCATTTCTGCTGGCCTTCTACTTTACCAGATCCTTCTCCAGGGCTGGTCTCTCCTGACAGCATGTCCAAAGTATGTGAGACAAAGTCTCACCATTCTTGCTTCTAAGCATCATTCTGGCTGTACATCTAAAAGTGACATCATTGCTTTTCAACACGTTAAGGAGATTGACTGCTGCTTCCATGAGCATTAACTGTGGATTCAAGTAAGATGAAATTCTTGACAGCTTAAGCCTTTTCTTTGTTTATCTTGTTACCCATTGGTTCAGTTGTGAGGATTTTGGTTTTCTTTATCTAGAGCTGTTACCCATACTGAATACTTAAATCCTCGAATTTCATCAGCAAGTGCTTCAAGTCGTCCTTGATTTCAGCCAGCAAGTCAGGTTGTGCGTGTCGAAGGTTGTTAACAAGTCTTCCTCCAATCCTGATGCTGTGTTCTTCCTCATGCATCCCAGCTTCTTGGACGATTTGCCTAGCATACAAATTGAATAAGTATGGAGAAAGGATATAGCCTGATGCACACCTTTCCTGATTTTAAACCACAAAATAGTCTCTTGCTCTGTTTGATGAATGACTTCCCCTTGGTCCATGGACATGAGCACAATTAAGTGTTCTGGAATTCTCATTCTTCTAGATGCTATCAATAGTTTGTTATGATCCACAGAGTTGAATGCCATTGCATAACCAATTAAATACAAGTAAATGTATTTCTGCTATTTTCTGCTTCCAGACAAGGTCCACCTGACATCAGCAATAATATTCCTCATTCCACATCCTCTTCTGAATCTAGCTTGAATTTCTGCTTGATGTGCTGCTGCAACTGTTGTTGAATTATTTTCAGCCAAATTTACTTGCACACAGTAGTAATGGTATTGTTTGATAGTTCCTGCATTCTACTGAATCATCTTTCTTTGGAATGGGAATATGGATCTCTTCCAGTTGGTTGACCCAGAATCTGTTTTCCAAGCTTCCTGATCTAGATAAATAAGTGCTTTCAGTTCTTCATCAGCTTATTTAAGCATTTCTATTGGTATGCTGTCATTTCCTAGAATTTTGATTTTTGCTAATACCTTCAGTGCAGCTTGGACTTCTTCCTTCAGTAACATTGGTTCTTAATCATATGCTACCTATTGAAATGGTTTGATGTCTACCACATGGATAAACTTGGAGGACAGGAAGGTGAAATGAGTCAGTTACAAAAGGGGAAGAGTTGTGTGAGACCAATATTATAAAAAAAAAAGAAAAAGGTTTTCACACGAAAGGAAACATTCTTTGATGGTTTCCAGGGGTAAGGGGTGAAGTGAGGAAAAATCACTAACTAGAGGGTAAAAAATAAAAACTCAAACTCATTGGCTCGATTCCAGCTCATAGAGCACAGGCACATATTAACTTGCAATATGCAATGTGACAGAGGTCAGCACACAAAAAATGATGGAGGCAGAGGAAGACAACAGGGGAAGAGAGCTCAATACTGCTGTACGCCTAGTCCTGCGGTGATGGTGATCTATGAGTAAATATGTGGATAGACACGCAGGCGGAAGTAGTATAAAAGGGAGAGTGGAAGGATGCCCATGAATATATAAAGGGTTGACAGAGGAAATCTGTACACGTGTACCTCTGTTGCAACTATATCTGTGAATCTGGTGGAGTACATAGAGAGCAAAGTTATGAAAGCTTCTTAGACATAAACAAATACATTGAGGGGATGAGTCATGGGGCCTAGAGGCTCAGGACCATTGTCTTAGAGGACCCCAGATCAGTTGGCCTGACTTAATCTACAGAGGCAATGTTCCGCATCCTACTTTGGTGAGTAGTGAGATGAGGGTCAAAAAGTTCATGAGAAGCCATCTAGTATGCAGTTACTGATCATTCTCCATCTGGAGGAAAGAAGGGTGAAAATTGTGGTAGTTACATAACCTTTTGTCAATTTAAGACTTAAGAGTTTAGCCTGTCAATCAGGTTGCATCTTGATGACCTCATTTGGAGGGGCTAAGGAGATAAATAGCTTGCTGGAGGAGGGACACACAGACACTCTGACGGTGAGCTTGATAGATCTACGCTGATTCAGCCAGAGCTCTGGAGCGGAAGAGCCAAGTGGAGACCCCTGCCAGCTCTGAGATGCTTACACCACCACTGGGTCCACAAGACTTTCCACCCACTGGCCTGTGATCTTCCTGCATTCGGAGTCAATGCATGTGTTTTGTGAGTCTGAAGAAGCATTTATAGATTGGTATTGGACATATGGGCTAATATTGGACTTATAGACTTGATCTGAACTGGGCTGGGATGTTTTCTCAATATTCAATTACTCTTGTATATAAAGCTCTTTCTTATACACATATCAGTGTCCATGAATTTGTTTCTCTAGTCTACCTGGACTAACACAAAAACTGGAAGATAAATAGAACCCATCAGACCAATGGGCTAATGGACCAAACAAACATCAGCCTCACAATCTCCTGACCAGAAGAACTAGATGGTGCCTGCCTACCATTACTAATTGCTCTGAAAGGGCTAACATTAGAAGGTCCTGAATATAGTAGGGGGAAAAATTATGGAACAAAATTCAAAAAATCATAAAAAGACTAGGCTTACTGGTCTGGTAAATACTGGTGGAGCCCCTAAAACTATGGCCCTTAATCATTATTCAGGCCCAGGACCAAACTCACTCCCAAATTCAATGGTTAGTCAAGTATATGGGAAATATAATGGCAGAGGGACACACGCCTTAGAATAATCAACCATGTTTTATCAAAAGGGCAGCATTTACCCCAGACCCAATCCAGAAGAGTGAGGAAAGGAGGAACGGGCCAAGACACACAGGGAGAAAGGGGATACACAATGTTACATTGTGGGGAAACACCATGTGTGTAAATTGTTCAATTAAAAGCTGATATGTTCTGTAAAAAACGCACACTGCGGGGTGATGATCAGGGTAAACAGTCCCTTATGCACACACGTGCAATAGAAAAACTGACGTCAACGGAGAGCAAAGACCAACAGTCTGAAGTATCGGCACGATCGGGGAGAAATTTCCACCAAACACAAGGTCGATGAAATTTGACAGGAAATCCAGCAATGAGTTATGAATCATTTTCTTCTGAACCAAAGGAAACCCAAGGCTGGAAGAAGCCTTTAATTCAACTTTCTTACAATGTCTTTCTCTAAACAAACGCATTTTGTGTGTCGGCACCATCCCCTACCAGGTAGGCCTTGCTTTATAAAATGGTTGGAAGCCCCCTTGGTCATCATCTCCTTGTCTTCCATCAAAACCTTTGTTCTTCATTCTATGTGGACAATACACCTTCCTTCTAAACAGCATTTCAGGAAGTAAAGGACAGGAAGTTGCACATTACAGCCTAAGAGTGGTGACTTTCCAAATAACCATCCTACAGGTGCGTATACAGATGGGAAGATTCCTGTGAGCAGGGCATGCTGGGAATCAGTATTTTGTCTAGCTTCTATTTGGTCAGGTTTGCAAAGAACTGAGCAGCACAGGCAGTTGAATGGCATAAGGGATGAGTGCCTGCTGGATTGATGGTAGTCTTCTTCAGTCTGTAATTTGAGAGGGGAACTTTGTTAGCACCTAAGGGAGCCATTAAGAGAAAGGGGCAGCATGGGATGGATGGGAAGAGATAGGATGAAGAGAGTAGAGGGGAGTCCAAATATGACCTATAAACACACACACACAAATGTTGTCAAGTCACTTTTAACTCACGGCAACCCCCTGAGTTACAGAGTAGAACTGTTCCATACTCAGAAACTCAAACTCAGTGCCATTGAGTCGGTTCTGACTCATAGCAACCCTGTAGGACACAGTAGAACTGCCTCGGTGGGTTTCCAAGATTGTAAACCTCCTGCCAATTGGCTGGTGGATTTGAACTGCTGACCTTGGAGGTCGGCAGGCCAACTCATGACCCACTACACTCTCAGGGTTCCTGAACCGCTCCACAGGGCGATTTTTATTGTTGCTAGGTGCTGGGGATGTGTTTCCACGCCTGAAAACCCCACATAACAGGGTAGAACTGCTTTCTTGGCTGTAATCTTGATGAAAGCAGATTTCGAGGGTTTTTTTCTTGGTGAGATTTAGGCAGTAGGTAGATGTGAACCACAACCTTCCAGTTGGTGCCTAACACTTAACTAGTTGAGCTACCAGGGCTCATAGACAAAGCTACCTACGCACTTTGTCTATTGGCAAACACCAGGGCTGGATTATTAGTCAAGGGATGCATTTACTGGCAAGAACAAAACAGAACAGAAAGCACCCCTCTGAAAATTATTTTTGGAAAGGAAATTAAAAGACATGAGAACATTTAGACTAAAGTAGGAAGAAATCAGGAGAGTCCCCACTGAAATAAAAACTGAACAGAGGCTAAGGTGGCTCCCCAGGTGAAACAGTGGCCTGCCAAGCGAAGAGCCGATGACGAGAAACCGAGTCTGTAAGAGCAGTCGCTTGGTTGAAGGCGTCCAAACAAAGGTGACCCTTAGTGAAATCAAACTAGTAAGTAGATGGTATATTTGAAGAGCTCCCTTGAAATAAAAATTAAAAGAGAAAGATGAAAGTTTAAAAATCAATGAGATAGAAAATAGAGAATTAAAATTCAGCCTTTCTGAAAAAGAACAATATGAGATTGAAGAACAAATAACAAATCAATAATCAGAAGGCTATGAAAGCGTTCCAATAGCAAAATACAATACATACGTCAACATCCGTACACAAATAAAAACAAGAATGCAAATAGAAAGTCCAAGTAGTAGAACATATGCATGAGAGCAAATATAATTATATTAGTAGTCATTACATATAATGATAAATACAATTATAAAATATGCCCTATTAAGAGATTCTCAGATTAGCTTTTTAAAAAATCTACAAGCAGTCTACACGAAGCACATTTCAAACAAAATCACAAAACAAAATATTGCAAAGATGTATCATGCAAATTTAAAGTTAATATAGCGGTCTCACTGCCACTGAGTCAATGGGGAGCATAGCGACTCCCCGTGGATTTCTGAGACTGGACCTGCGTAAGGAAGTCAAAAGCCCAGAGTTCTCCTGCAGAGCTGCTGACGGGCCTCCCACCGCCCACCCTGGGGAGCACAGCCCAACGCAAAACCACCGCACCACCAGGGCTCCACCAGGGGGGCACTTGCATACTGAGCCACGTCCTATACAAGTAAAAATGGTAAAACTAACGGGCCTGTTTTATATTTATTAAAATTATGACACCAATAAAAATAAGTTGAGTGGGCATAGAATATTGAAATCATACAGCCCCCACTCCCCACCCTGAAAGTAGTGTAGAGTACAACGGTATAAAGGTGCACCTCTGTGGGAAAATGTCTGTTTATGTGCATATTTTTGCTACACCTAAACCATGTGAAATTATTCACTACAGATTAGTAAGTAGGTGCAAGGATGTCCATGCTTACCTTGCTTACTGGGCACTATGTTCCAGTCAGGGATTGTAAATTTTAAAAGGCCTTATTTTTTTCTTTTAACAATTAGAATTTTTTAAAAATTAATGAGAATTAGAAGATCATACAGTTCAAAGAGTTCATTTGAAAAATAGTTTTATTGAGATATAATTCACATATTATAATTCAATAGTTCGGTCATATTAAGAAGAGTTAAGCAATCATCACCACAAATCAACTTCAGAACATTTTCTTCTTTCTTGTACTCCTTGTTGACTTCCCATTTCCCCTCAACTTCCCTTCCACGTGTGTAGGAATTGTTGATCCAGTTACTGACTCTGTAGATGGACCCACCCCAGAGTCCCTAGAGTTATAGCGAAAACATACAAAGACAAAAAAGGAAAAAGCCCCCAACAGCGCTGACCAGATAAAATAGTGAAAAAAGTTCAATTGAAAAGAAAGAAGAAAAGATGTGGCAATATTTATATACACACACACTCACACGCAATAATCAGGGTTTGGGGTCGGGGAGGGAGGGGATACAGGGGAGCAGATGTCAAGAAGATCAGGAAGGAGGAGAGGGGTTTGAAGCTGACTGTGGTAACAAGTGTACAGTACTGCTCTATGTGACTGATGTGAATGTTGCGATACATCTGTAAACACGCCCCATGAAATGATAAACACAAACCCAAAACCTGTTGTAAATGTAAAATGGGCCCAAAGGGACATCAATTGATAAGGTATTACATTTCAGCCTAACTGTATCTGACAAACGTCACTTTATAATGCTCTCCGGATGATAGTACAGCCATTCACATCCCTGGACTCCGCTTAAAGGGGGTTCCGCAGAGAGTCAATCCCTGGAGCCTCCCGGCAAAGGGATTTTGAGCTTCCATGATGTAGTTTTCCCCAAACTGGTGTTTCGATTTACTACCATTAAATACCATTTAATGCCACTCTAATACCGTTCCCTTCTCTGGATTTGGGTTTTATTATTTACAGTCCTTGGATCACGTGGGCGGGTGTGCTTATTCTGTATGGACTTAGCTGCCACCTCATTGAGATGGCTGCGTGCTTTAAAACAAGCCTGTAAGCCCAGACACTGTTCCTTCTGATAGCAGAAAGACACTTCACTATAAAACGCATATCTTCAGTGATCTCTTCATGAAGATTCTACCCAACGGACTGATTTTTATTTTGATCACTTTTCATCAGTATAAAATATCCTGTTCGTTTTGTTTAATATTTTTACCAGTATAGTATTTTTGGTTCCCTAAAAAAACCTGCTATTAATTAATGCTATTGATAATTAATAAATAATTATTAATTTATTAATCCTACATTAATTTTACATTTGCCTCATAAATCATTGCAATCTCTTTTTCTGTTATTTTATTTTAAGTGTGCTTAAAGAAGTAGTCTAAAAGTAGTCAGCTTAGAGTTTAGATATATTTTTAAGTAATTTGAGAATCTCTTTAAATAGGGCATATTTTACCATTTATTATGATTTTAAAAACTGATATATTTGGTCTCCTCCATGTTTTCTACTATGTGGACTTCCTTTTGCTTTTTGTGTTATAGCCCATCACCCAGAATAAAGTGCAGGTGTTTGCTTTTGCAGCTCCCTTGGATCATTCAAGTGTGACACCACCACCACCACCACCACCACCA